TGACATTTTCTCGATGCAAAAGCTGGAAGAAGAGTTAAAAAGAGCAAGGCTTTTTCTTCTTTTTTTTTTGAAAAAAAAAGGAAACTAAAGGCACGCCACGAAAGGACAGAGGAGGCAAGCGTAGTTTGTGTACTATGCACGTTCTGCTGGGGAAGAAACGGGGGTGGAGGGATGTCAGCACAGACAGATGCTGTCTGGAAAAACTGGTGGTGTTACTAAAACCGTGAAAAGGGAGTTGCGTGCATAGCGTATACCAAGTGTTACTAACCACAGTATGGCCCAAAATGCAGGCTCAGTAAGAAGCTAGGGTCGCCTGGTCACGCCATTGGTGGCAGCTGCGCTAAACCAACTACTTCACACCATGTACGTGTACAGAGGTTATTTCAAAATGTCTTGAGTTTAGCTGTCCTAATTTCTCTTCTTATTCTATATCTTTAATGGTATATATCTGTGATACATAATAATTTCAACCATCTTCAGTTGTTCTAATTTCTAACTGCACTTTACAACAGTTACTTTTTTCTTGGTTCAAATCCATTGTTTCTGCTGGTCTTTTAGTTATTATAATCAATTACTGGTTATTATAAACAATTACTGGTTATTATAATCAATTATATGTGAATACTCTATTATTTTTCTTGAATATCTTGTATTTTAGATGTCCTTACAATTCAGACATTGACCCCTATTAGAAGGATGTACTTTATCCGTTGATTTGGATGGATCTGTCAGTCCATCCACACTCCTCACCTCATCCTCTGTATGAGCAGTAGTATAACTTTCCAACAGTGTTAGCCAGGTTTGGGGTATGGCAGGCGGCCAGCGAGCACGGTAAAATAACTGGCTCACAGTTACATGGAATCTGTGACGCTGGTTAGCTACATAAACATGATTCTCTAACCAACAACGCAAGCTTGTATAAGAGAAATTTTTAAAATAGCATTGAAAATACGTACATTCACGCAAAAATCTAGGAGGATATACTTTAAAATGCTAACAGTGGTTATAACGAAGCAATAGGTTTACTAGTAATTCATATTTTCTCCTTTGGCTTTTCTAAAAAATGTAATACTTTGATGATTTAAATATTTTTAAAAGATACAAAAGGGTAAACACACTAATAACAGAAGTAGTAGAAAATAGGAAGCCATCTATAAAGTAGATATGATGTGACCGTCCAAACTAGTGATGTGGACCTATAGATGTTCTATGATAGAGTGTTAAGAAACAAACAAGTTGCACAGTGAGTCCTAGTGTACACACATAGATACACAAATTTATATGAGCAAGAAAAGTCTATAATGATATAAAAACAGCGCACATATTTGTGGGTAAGAGTAAAGTGAGAAATATTCATTTTTGTTACATGTTTTTCAACTGCTTGCACTTGAGAGCATGCATACCTTTCTAAATAAAATTAATGCTGAAAAAATATGAAACAGACTCAGGGTGTAGCTCAGTGGCAGAGTATGTGCTTAGCATTCATGAGACCCTAGGTTCAATTTCTCAGTAAAAGAGAGCCAAAGAATGAGAGAAAACTAAAACAAAAATAGGAAAAAGGATACATATTTAGCATTTTCTTGGGAAACTAAGGATATATTTCCAAAACTCCCTTTCGCTGGTCATACACATGTAATTAATATTTCCATTAGACTGTATAGTTTATATACTGGTCCTATATTCATGTTTCCAGCCATTGACACTGAGTTGGAAACTAAATGATTTTAAACTAACTTTAATATATTTTTGTTTAAAATATAGGAAGGTAAATGACTAGAGTAATAAAGCTCCTCCTCATTTCCAAACTCAAACGAGCAAATGAGCCAGGCTCCAGTGACATGCCCTTACACATGAGAGTAAGTTGCACCCAGAGGGCTGCAAGCCATTCCATTCATGAATCTCACTTTTGCCTATGAATATATAATATATGAAATCCACTTTACATTCAGAAAAAAATTTTGTATTAACTGGCTTAGCAAATACATCATAATGGAAGCAATGAACCTGAACCATGGTGATTACGAAATGCTATGTAAATATTTATTTCATCAAAATCACAGAAGAGAAAAAAGGACATTAGTATTTCAACATTATAAAGGTTCTCAAAAACAAGTAAATCTTTGAAAAGGTACAAAATCCAGGCCTTTACTCAGCAATAACAACAAAAGCCTCTCAAATCATGCTTCTGTTAAAACTGCTAAACCAGCTCTCCACATTTTGAATCATCTATAAACAAACGTACATCAAGGCCTGAAGAAAGACCTACCTCTTATTTCACCTACACATACACACCTCCTATTTTCCATCCTATGTATTCTCGCCCTACAACAATTCCTTATAGCAAAATCTCTTTCGCTCAGCCCTGAATAACAGCAGCACTGCGGCTGCAGGGAGGTTAAGTTAGGCAGGTTCTAGGGATTCGTGGGAAACAGGAAATGACCCGAGAAATGGACAAGGGGTAGGATGCTGTTCACTGCTCTAATTCCCCATTAAAACCTTCAGGCTCAGCGTCAGACAGGAAATAAAATTTTAATGGTTGATGTTCTGAGCTAAACTCCAAAATTTTATTTCCACATCATCTTCTTTGACAACAATAATCCAAAGCAATCACATTGACAGAAAGTACAAAACTGGGAATTGGTACCTCTTAGATTTACCACTTTTCTTCATGAAAGAAGGAAGGAAAAAAGTGAGATGAGAACCAAGTCTCCACCATAACAAATGGAAGAAGAAAAGGAAAAGACACTGAGTCACTTAAAATAAAAGCGCTGCTTCTATCAGGAATAACATGTTACATAATTTGAATTTTGTGAATCAGCAGTTTAATTAGTAATTTATATGAACTTATTTAAAAAGAGAAAGGAAACATGATTGGAAAAGGTAAAAAGGTTTGTGAAATAAGGCAGATTTCAAAAGTATTTAACCCACCCCCTCAGAGAAGGCTGACAGGCGGATGACTCAACCTGGCTTCACCAAAGGTTTCTTACCAACTAACATCCCCCATAGGAAAGGCCGTCCTTCTTTCATTTTTCCCTGATAGTCCTCCTCAGCTCCTCCCACCAGGTAATGGTCATATTTTCCTCTCTTTTGCAGGTTAACCATCCGGTTAACCATACTTTACAGATACAGAGGGTAATGCTTGAAGAATATGAATAGTTGAGGATTTTTCTGTTTTTAATGAAAGACCTTTTATAGTAAAATAACTGAAACATTCCAAAAACAAGTAATGCCAGGCACTTCGAAAAATACGACAAACC